GATCTGCGATGGCGGGGAAGGGGGGGGGGGGGGCGGTTTCTTTACAAATCGAATGGGCCGAGAAAAATAATAAAAGAAGAGGTCGGTTGGCGAGACAGAGACAGACTAGATAAGCAGATAGAAAGAGACAGACACACATACACATAGCCCCGAGATACTTGTTGAGTACTTCTGATGAAAATAGAGTATCTATTGGTTGTTCGCTGGCATAATGGCCGGTGCACGAACGGATAGCGGCAAGTTGGAATGTCTTGATGAAGAGAAAAAGTACGCCGAAACAGGTCGCATAAGACACCGTTTCATACTGTGTAGCTATCTGAGCCTTTCAAAACTTGACACGGAAACGGTCAGAAAAAAAAAACCACAGATTTCCTCTTCACATTCTAAACTTGAATGGCTGCATGCCGCCAACACCCACATGCACCCGAAAGACAGCGCCGCCCAGCCTCCTACTCTCTTCGTCCTGACCGTCCTCGTCCGCCGCCGTCGTGACGAACAGATCCTCGCCGACAAACTGCACGCACGTCGCGTTTCTCGTCGGCAGCGCCACCCTGCCCAGTACCGCGCCTGTCCGCCCGTCTACGCGCAGCACCGCGGACCCGCCGTACAGCGCCTGCCAGACATGGCCTTCGGCGTCGACGCGTAGGCCGTCAGGCTCCGGGCCTGACGTCGGGTAGCGGTGATGCACCCGGCGGTTGCTCATGGTTCCCGTGGCAGGGTCGTAGTTGTACGCGAGGAGCTCGCGCGTCGGCGAGTGCGTGAAGTACATGGTGCGCAGGTCCGGCGACCAGCCGATGCCGTTGGGGATGGTAAGCCCGGTGACAAGCTCCTCCGCTGAGTCGTGCGTAAAAAGAAACAGGCCGCCTGAGGTCTTGTTAGCAAGCACGATGAAGGCCTAGAGAAAATCTGTCGATTGTGACATGAACCGTTGCACACCTTCAGGCTGAAAAGGACCGAGGCCAAAATCTGTCATACTCCCAAGCAGGAACCGCCCCAGCGGGTCGGCGCAGCCATCATTCGCGCGCACCCGCTCGTTGGGCGGCTTGCAAAACGACATCAACATCTCGTAGCTTCCCCGCGCGACATCCAGTGTCGCGAGGCCATGCTTTACGCCGACGAGGATGCGCTCCCGGGGGTCAACGCCGTGCAAGTCCGCCGTGACGGTCGGGCACACGTTGAGCTGCACGATCTGGGGAGCCGCGCTGGCCGTGTGCTTGTTGGCCGGCGCGTTAACGCCGCGGAAATAGAGAATCTGCTTCTTCTTGATGTCGACGAGGCGCAGCGAGTCAGTCTCGACCTCATAAAAAGGACCCTCGCCGAGGGCGCAGTGCGGCTCCGCCCAAGGCGCCGCGACGGTCCATTGCTGTATGGCGGCCATAGGTCTTTTGCATGCGTGTCTGTGAGGCTGCGGAGGTTGGCAAGTTTGTGCGTTGCAGGATGCAGAGGCAAAGAGGAGGGGAGGGGAGGCGAAAATGGGGCGTGGTAGGCAACAATGGGACGAAGCGCCGTGTGCCGGAGTGAGGGGGCGGGTGGTGCGGATGGAGCCCCGGGCCGCAATGCCGTTTATTACGGACCCGGGCCCGATCAACGAACGCAAAACGCGGTCCAGGCAGCGGCTGTTCTAAAGATGACGCTGCGCAAGTAGCTCAGATTTGATAGGCGATAATTCTTCAGTCGTCCTGCATTGCGCCCGCCGCTGGACATCTGCTGTATGTAACCGATTCGTCTGGGCGCACCCCGAGTGTGACTTGTAATCGTTCAAGCAAACTTGAGAGCGGAGTTCGACCGATTTTCAAGCGAGTCAACATCGTGTTGTGCGTCCAAGGCGTCCAAAAATATCCCAAGCCATCGGCCAGGTGCTTTTGAAAGCAGTAATTACGCTTGCTTTTGGTCCTCGCACAGGTAGGTTGCCACGGGCGCTGTAGGTATCAAACAGGTACACCGCTATCACGGGTTCCTGAGCTCCACGACTAGATCCCAACCTCGTCGATTACAATCTGCACGGCTATCAGCCCACGAGGCCCTGCATGGTGACACATGCGCCTCTCGTTCGTGGGAACGACCAACAAGACTGTCAGACCTCCCCACACAACCGCTTGTAGTCTGTTCCGAAGTAATCACTAGCAGAGAACATCCACCTCTGATGTCTCGTCAATAAACAAAGTTCTTATCTACTCCAATCCTGGATACTCGATGCCCGAATGCAAGGCTCCCCACGTCGCATCGTTTCATTGTTGCAGGATCACATCATTTCCAAGCCACACAGGGGAAAGCCCGGCCCAAGACAAGCTCGAAAGCTCGAAGCTGTGGAAAAGCAAACAAAAAAAGAAGAAGAAACTAAAAGTCTATCAAAGGCAACAGGGAAGCTGCATTAGGACGTGAGTGTGCCGTGATCGTACGTATAGCCACCGATTGACTTGCTTACGGCCGTTTTCTTTGAGCTTGGCACATTGACAGAAACAGCATCAAAAGGTGTGTTTCAAAAAGGAAAAAATAAGCCACCAAAGACTCAAGAGTGCTTCGATGTCTCAGCGCCATAGCCTGCATTGCAAGAGAAACAAGAGGGGGGCCCGATGCCACATGACAGCTCTCTGCGCAAGCATATTTTTCCTGGCTGTAATGCTACCCTCATGTTTTGGCCATCGCGGTTGGTTTTCAGGTTTTGCTTGCGTTTTGCTCGGCAACTGAGACAGTGGCATGCGGAGGCCGTACGTGCTTTGGCACTTTCTTTGGGACGAAACAAAACAATGTCAAAGCACTCCCACTCGGCGCATGTCCGCTCTGGAGACGACTGGCAAGGTAAAGCTTTGCCACACCGATGTTCGCACAAACTTATCCCTGAATTTTTACATGTATGTGACACATGCCTGGATAAATTAGCCTCTGGATGTTCCTCGGGAACGAGATTTGGCGATGGCGTTGCCTTGAAGCTTTGGCTCTCGTGATTGTCGTTTGCGTGCCGACATATTCCTAGTTTGCTTCACGTGGCCATCTCGTTATGCGGCAGCCGGTTCTTAGTTTCTGCAGAGGGCCGGCTCAGGAGTACTGGTTTGGGATCGAAGGTATTTGGAGGCGGCCACCCACCTGCATCTCGGTGGCACCCTCGAGCAAGTGTTTGGCTGACCCATGCATTTCTTTTTATCTTTTCCGTAGAGACATAGAGAACAGAGTAGCCCGTGCTGTCGGCATAGATTGTAATGCCTGCCAGCGATGGCATTAATATACGGTGTGGTAGTCTTTTCCTTCTCTTGATGCGGCTAGTGCAAGACGTGAACATGGCCTTGGAGCCTCTATAGCTTGGCAATATTAACTGACCCTGTTAACAGGACAGCTGTCCACCCTGAAATGGAGCGTCCGTTGAGCGGGCTACTTGCAGCCGGCACCAGCGGCCCGTTGCTGCAGAATGCGCGTTACATAAGAGGAGCAAAGAAAGATGACGAGATGCGCGACGCACCACGTCTGCATGCTGCTGGTGCTCCCCGCCCGCAGTCGTGTTGGGCATCAAAGCCCGGCATGTGCGAGTAGCCACCAGTAGTTAGCCACGCCACTAATAATAGGCAGAGCAGGTCTTGACCCATTGGGTGACCGCCACGTCGATTGACCGAGTTTTTGGAGAGACGGTTGTTGCAGCCAGCCAGCCCCCCCCCCCCCGAAACCGTCTGCTCTCTGACGTGGTACCCGCACTATAGCCTGCCAGCAACGCGGCTGTCCATTGCCAGTTGTCAGGCCATTGTAATCCGGGTCTATGCCATGCTGATAACCAGTCAGATGTTTGGAGAGTGTTGTGGAAGGGCGTTGTGTTTGTTTCGGGCGACTCAGGGCGCTGCTGCTTCCACGGGCGATGGAGTTTGGCCGCCGGTTAGTAGGACTGTAATACTTGACCGACTCTGGTGTGCCCAGTTGGATACGCACGCAGCTGGGGTCGGTACGAAACAGCTCACAGCCAGTCCGGGGTGCCAGAACGGCTGATGGGCCCATGTCCCGCCGACAGCCAGGGTTCGTGGCGCCTGCATGAACCAGGGCGATGGATGACCAGTCCTTGTCAGAATGCCAGTGCCCCCAGCGCGCAGAATATCGGAGAGAGCTCCCGCTAGCAATGCACGGCATATGTACGTTGTTCTGTGCTAGGCTCTTTGGGACGACCTGGAGCCGACACATCTGACTTGCGGCGGTGATCTGTTTCTGTTCGTGTGTATCCTTGTCAGCGGCTATGCAGGTTGGCATGACACACCCAACAGCGCCGGTTGTTGGACCACGGATGTAGGCTCTTTCCTGCTTGTGACGCTTGCAAGCTCCGCCTGATGTGACTTGTGGCCTGCCGCAAAACGCTTCTCACCCAAACTTTGAATTTTCTCTTCCCACAGCTGGCCCCGGAGCGGGTAACGGAAGTTGACCCGGGTTGAATTGCGCAATTAGCAGCCCATAACTTACAGCTCCTCATACCAGTAGCCCATTCTGCGTTACTTCCATGTGGTTAGCTTGCCAGGGTTCGCCGCAGACTACAGCCCATGAATAGAATGGTTGGGGGCGGGTATGAGAAAAATAAAAAGATTCTCCGAGCTGCAAATGCGAAATCGACGGCGGTTCAAGGCCTCAAAGAATTACTGGTACCCAGTGTGCCACGCGAATGGCTTTAGCTAAAATTGGCAAGATTGGCGCAGAGGAGCCCTTTTTGGCCTTCGTCGCCAACTTGGGCTTGGTGCTCGATCTTCTTCTTGCCAAATAGGCAAATGCACGGAAACTTTTGACCGCAAGCCGCCAAATACAACGCTGTCGCTGGCCAAAGAATAGTGCCCTGCTGCTAGTAAAGTTGTTAGTCTGGTACTAAATTCAGCCACGGTCGAGCCACGGCCCGCACGTCCATGTACTAATTAGTAGACACTTGACACTCAACTTACCAGTACTCCGTAGACCATGTGCTAAATGGTTTATACTTGTAAAATAGCTTGCAGTGTCAATCTCCGCTAGGTGGAGCGATTGTACACCTCTCTATCAGTAGCACATCTCCACAGTGATATCACGGAAGCACGGCTCTGGGTGTAATTAAACATGTATCCATACCTTGCAATGGAAGCATGCTCCAAATGTTCTGTAATCATGTGCTTTCTTGCATCCGGATCCCAGCACGCAGGAAACGACTGTACATACATGCGTTCAGCGGGTCTGCTAGGAGCGAATCACACAGTGGCTGCGCAGCCTGGCCCAGCTCATCACTTGCAGTATAGTTAATGAGCATGGCGTTCCCATTGTGAGTCAAGACGAGCAGAGTCCGTCTCGGCGGGCCTCATCAGTAGTATACTCCACTAGAGATTTCCTCTTGACGACTCCTCGACTCCTCCTCGACGATTTCTCGATATCGGCCTAGTATTGCGCACTTTCGAGGACAGTAGTAGATGAGAGATGAGGCTGCTTGAACAAGCTAGTTTTCTTCGTAGCTGATTCGTAATTTTCGACCTTGATATGAATCAGACTATCAGCCTTCTCGACAGTCAAGACTAGGCAGAGAGAGTGCCTAGCAGAGCGCAATATGGCGCCGTAGCAGCCTTGCAATATTGGCTGCAGAACCAGATCTCGCAGGCATCCCTGCGAATTGAGATGATGGCTGACAGTGACAGAACATGCTTAACAATTAACATGGTGACGAGGAAGCATATCCTCGCAGATGGGTCAGCAGTATTATCCGTAGAGAGGGTGTGAGTCGAATTGCTCACGATCCCTTGTCGATCTGCACACCACCTCCCGATATACTCATTTAACATTTCATTTCCTGGGTCCTCCAATCACAAGACATGGTTCCCTGCCCCAAGGTATCGTTGATACGCTGTAAATAGCCTGTGAGTAAAGTAGCTGCTCGTCATCTCGCACCCCGGTAAGCTATTTAAATTCTGGACTAAAAACGTTGCGGCGAAGAGACCGGACAGGGCCGGTCTAATGAAAAGAAGCGCCCTAGGCAAGCAGTGACCCGCGGAACGAAGCACATGATGCCTGCCCTAAATTGCTGATGTTTTGGTTCCCGCGCAACAGTATCCGTTGGTCTGTGCAAAGGGGGCAACATATAGATCAGTTTGTAGCAGTTTCCGAATCAGGCAAGGGTTCAGATACCGTAATTAAACCTTTGCGAGACAGAGATGGCGTCTAATGACGTGCATCAACAAGATACAGACCCTGCCCTTGAAGACGTGCAGACGGATATTGACAACGCTGGCCAGTCCAAGGACAAGTAAAACCAGGATTTGAGCTGATGAGGCTGCTCGGTTGGGGACGAGGTGTAACCACCCTGTCATCCCCATCAGAAAATTGGTATTAGAGCCCTGCTACGGGAAAGTGTGTCTGCCTGATGAAAAGGCGCACGAGGGTGCAACTGCGGTGCCGAGTGAATGTACGTCGAGGTGGATTTCGCGCGCGGAGACGTCGGGCCATCACTGAGCAGCATCAGCAGCCAGGTGAATTGCAGCCGTCGCCTGTCTGCCCTTGGTGTTGGGTTTACTTGCATGAAGCGCGGAGCTAAGATAGAGCAGGCATAGCGCAGAGACAGAAACACGTAGCCAAGTGATGGGCTGGTGCTTGGACCAGCTCGCCAACCACCGTCCATCCGCGCGGCCTATCAGGTTCTCGGAACGAGAACATGACACTTATTAGAGCAAAGTTGGTCACATCTGCATCCAACTACATCACCCGCCAGTGGCTTTGCATAGTAGTACCAAGCGTTGGTTGCCGTACTCCATTTACGTCTTGAAGTTGAAGAATAGTAGCCGTGGGGCCGAGCGGCGCAGATTCTCGAGCTCGTCAGCCAGCGATTGTGTTGAGTAGCCGGATTCGCAGCAAGGCCCGCCTCTATGCCGTAAACTGAATGTATCGTGAGGTCTGGCCCATGCTGAGATGTCATGGGCAAGAGATGACCGAACGCAAACGATGGAGCAGATGTTCGAATGGGCGGTCTTTGGGCCGCTCAACCAAAAAGAGAGCAACAAAAGTCAAGTGGACGAGGTTGACAGGACGTGACGGGTCACAAAGTCGGAGTTGATGATGAGTACAAGCACAACGGCCACCCATGTCTCCTCTTCTCTCTTTGGTATGCAGCTTTCTTTTTTGGGGGTCTGTGTTGCGCTTTTCGGATGCATTTGAGCGGGGAGCAGACAACTTGCAGGGGAGAGCCCACCATCTGTAGAGGTCAAGTGGCTGTGGGTGTGCGTTCCCGACCGTGTGGACGGGTTTTGGGCTCCAACGCTCCAACGCTCCAACGCCACCGCCTAGGCTGTAAGAGCACTAGTTATTTAGCAAGCCAAACTGGAGTTGACTCGAGGTGTGAGGCCAGGGTGGGTTGCAACCGAGTCGGGCGCTGCAGTATGAAGAGAGAGAGAGAAAGCGGTGGAGGGTGTGGTCGAGGATGCAGCAGACGAGACAGGCATGATGACTGTGAGTTTCGGAGAGCCGTGGACGGGTCGTTTGCAGTGTGTAGCGAGTTCAAAGTATGCGATTGGGAGGCATGTGTGCGTATTGATCTCGGACTGCAGCATGCATGCACACACGTGCATGCTCGCTTTTCTTTTTTCTGCGATAGCCAATGCCAGAACTGATGATGGTGATGGTGTTGCAGTTGTAAGCGGCTACACATTGTTTTGCGCTTACCTTGGCAATTGAGAATAAGCAGATGGATGATGCGAAGGTGGATGACAGGGAGCTGGATGGCGGATGTACATTCTTTCTGTGCACATGATGAGTGAATGGTACCGAGAAAGATGTCTTGCTGTTGAAAGGACAATGTAGTACTTGCCCTGGCTGTCTACCAAATGGGATGCGTCCATCACAGCAACACAAGCCCAAAGATACCCCAATTTGGCCAGGCACCCAAGCCAAGGTAGCATCACGGCGTTGCAGCGCAGACTGCAGCCACAAGTCTAAAGCTGCGAGCTTCAAAGTAAGTGATTGCTGCCAGCAAGCATGCAACAAACAACATGTGCAGCACAGCGAGATCGCCACGCAGCCAAACGCAGAGGTGGATGCAGGCTTTGTTGGGCATCGTGCATCGATGCCGCACTGGGCGGGAGAGTCAGGCTGAGGCGGAAGAATGCGGCGGTTTGGTTATTAAGTAGCATTCATGTTGATATAAACAATGACTGTGTTGATAAAAGCCATTGACTGATTACTGGCGTTGGAGTAGGTGTAGATGGGATGATGTTTCCGTTTGCCGCGCAAGTATTTAGAGCCAGGAATGGTGTGGCAAGGGCAAGGCACAGCTACCTGCCTTAGGTAGGTAGCACGGTAGGTAGGTACCTACATAACCTCCTACATAGAGCAGCGCTAAATTAATAATAAACGAACTAGGCCGGCTACTCGCCCAGCCCACTGGTAATAACTGCTGTCCGCTAATAACAAGCGCATGATGCGCAGGATAATTGATGATGAATTGATAGAACTGAGATCAATGCATGGAACCTGGGCCGCAATGGGCAATGGACTGCCGAACACTCACACATTTAACTTAGTCATCCACCGCAGAACATTCTGTCATTAGCGCTGGTCCAGCGTACCGAAATATTTACCGGAGCAGCCCTTTGTGAATTAATTAGGTACCTAAACAACTAACTAGACTAAATGAAATAGTTATTCGTTAAATTATCACCTTGCCTTAACTCGCAAGTAAGGTTAGCTGCAGCAGAAGAGACAGCTCTGCCAGCTCCGCCCAGGCCCAGCAACATGGGGCCAAAAGCCAGAGCTTCCACTATTTACGTACCTACATGTCCACAGAAGATGCCAGACAGACAGACACCAAAACGATTATCCCAGCCAGCCTCATTGCCACTGCGCTGGCAGTCGGGCAAAAACAGCCCTGGCAGTATCTACCGTGCTACCTACCTTACCTAGGTAGGTAGGTAGGTAGGTAGGTAGGTCTAACTACCAGCTCCCAGACAGCCGCAGCCAACTCTCCCTCGCCATTGACTACACCAATACACCTACCTACCAAAACCATTCTGTCTTCGCGTACCCTCTACTCCATACGCTAACACTAGCTCCCACCAGCCCGCCCGCGCCCACCTCCGATTAGCCAAGCTCTCACGGCTCCTCCCTCTCCTCTTGTCCACCGCCTTGTTGCTTTCGTGCCTAACCTTGGGCCGACGCTCACGACAGCCCAGCCCACGGCGCGCTATGATGCAAACTGGCCCCGTACAACAAAGCCACCAAGCTCTTCGCGAGCCTCTCCTCCATCGTCTCGGGTCGCTTCCGCCAATCCTCCATCCCTACTAGTCACCGTCCATCACGACACAGGCTGAAAGAGTACAGCTTTTACTACCACGCCCCGAACGGGCTCTACTTTGGCGGGGCTACGAGCCTGGTCTTCTTTCTTCCAATCTTTTTCCACGCTGATCCGAACTGCCTTGATTGCCAGCGTGGCCATGCCATGCCGATGCCGATGCCGCTGTCATCGGAGACACTAACAAGACAGACAGGAATTAAAAAAAAAGGAAAATAAAAATAAAAATTTAAACCGAGAAAATAAATCAAGAGAATTAAATATGCCTGCCCAAGCTCAACTCACCAAGAACCATCCGAACGGCATTACTTGATCGGCGCCGCATCGCCCTTCAGTGAGACCAAACACATGGGTATCTTCCCTGCCCCATGTATTTGCTCTTGCACTCGCCCGCCATTTCTTATTCCCAGCAACTTGGCTTGACAATCCAGTCGCTGCAAGCGGTACTGCTACATACTCAAGTCTGATACCATGTCCTGTTCACTTGAAATGGGTGGCCGGTTAAGCCCTGCTTGCCCTGCCAGGGAGGGGCGTCTGTGGAGGGGGGGGGGGGGGGTGGTCACCGTGTGGGTGCCATGACTGCGAAATGTGTACAAGCGCATGTATGTATGTACTCTATTGTACTCCGTAGTCCGTACTCTATGGGCCATGCTGCGCTAACCTCTCTACTCTCGTGGTGATGAGATCAGTCCGCTGCTTGACAAGCCATTGAGCCTGCCCCCCTGCTCTGGCTTTCTGTTGGAGAAAGTTGCGACACCCATGTCCCAACTGATCCTGGTCCGGTTGCCTCTTCCAAAAGAAGCATGCCGCCAAATATCTTTTCTTATTTTGTCCTTCTCTCCCCTCAACTCTTTGCTACCAAGGGTTCGTGAACTTGAGGAGGGTTTGATCTTCACCACTCGACCGGCTTGGACGTCTGACTTGTATTCTTCTTTGGTGTTGCCCATCAATAAGTTCTAGAGCTAGACTTTGACAGGTGCGCATAGACAACCTGGCCAATCTTGTCACTCCAGCTTTCATGGGAGCGCCGCGTTAGCCTGCCTCTGTTCCTGCTGCCCATCCTGTTATATGGTCCGCTCTCCCCTCTTCCGCCCAGCCGCCCAACGTCTTCAACTCCTTGAACAGCACTTGTGGATTGCAAGCTCCTTATAGTAAGTTCAATCATGATATTATCACACCGCCTTCAGCAAGTTTGCAAGCACCAACTTCGTTGCTGCTCTTCTTCTTGATGCACTTTGCCGCCCAACGAGTTTCGAAACGCCCTGTGCATCCCAACGCAGACAATGGACTACAACAAGACTAACCTCAAGGTAGCCCTCAGCGGCGCTGAATTTTCCAAAAAGGTCCATCTTTACACAGGATCATTGTCGCATCTGCACAGTCTCTCCTAATTTGCAAAGTTCGACCTACAATCTTTCCTTTCAGCACCTTGCATCGCAATTCAGTTCTCCACGCGTCATTCTTTCCGCAATCAGTCAGGCCTCGTATACTTGGTTGACCCAGGATTGTCCCTGTATGAACGACGACTTGGCCGGCTTTGACTGCTCCTTGAATCAAGAGGCCAAACACACGAGCAGAAACGCTATTGTGTAGGTGTCGATACGGAACCTCACCCCCGCCAAAAGCCAATCAATATCATTGGGACTCTTTGGGTGTGCAACCCGAACTAGTCCTAAGCTGCAACGGACATCCTGGCGGACTCACAATCTAGCCTGTGGCAACAGGCACCACACACGAAGCCAAGCCCTGGCACTGCAGCCGCCGCCGCCGACTCTTCAACATCAACAACTCCAAACTCGCCTAGAACGCCAGTCACGCCTTCTTGGGATACTCGCCATATTGATTCTGAAATATCGCCCAAGGGTACAGCCATCCAGGACTTGCTCGTATCATCGGAGAGTCAATGTACCTACGCTAAAGGCCTGGGAAGCGTAGGGCATCAGGTCTCGATGTCACAGAAGGGCCCTGCATCTCATCATGCTTCGCATCCATCAGTGACATCTCCAGTTAAGTTTGAACAAGTATCTCCTCACACTCGTCCGATACAGCCTAGTCAGGATGCACCTCACAGCCGGGGGCCCATGGCCGGAAATGGCCAACTACCTGCGCTGCATACTCAAGGCAAAAGTCTTGGAATGAACAGCCTCCTGAACCCGTCACCAACAGGGAATCGCCAGGTAGAAGCGCAAGGTAAGTATTGGAAAGACTTGGAACACCCTGCAAGGATACGAAGTGCAGCACGACCTGGAGGAAACGTTCGGGGAGAAGTCGCATCTGCATCACTGCCAGGCACACCAGGAGCAGGTGGCATGATAACCCCATTAGGCCGACCCGCGATGTCTGAAAGAAACTCTCCTGCCATGGCATATCCAGTTCCAACAGCGGATCCGAGAAAGTCGTTGAGCCCCAAATCGATCTACAGCATCACCGCTCACGAGTCGGATGCACGGCAGATGCTCGCGGTTGCTGGCTCTAAAAGGCCATTTTCATACGCGGGCGACGGATCTCTGGAGCTCAAAGCGCCACCGTATAGTCATCATCCGTCGAACAGTCTTCCTAATACCAGTACGATGGCATCTCCGCTAAGGGCTGCCGCGCAGCCAGTCCAACACATGGATGGGCGGCATCATATTCATGCGCCAAAACACCCAGAAGAATATCAGCCGCACCCGGAAGGACCGCACTATCCTCCGCACCCGGAAGGACCGCACTATCCTGCGCACCCAAATTATCATCATGGCAATCATGGGCCGCCTCACTCTGCTCCGCAACCTGACACAGCATCTACCGAGGGCGGATTAGCCTGGCCTGACATGCGTCGACCAGCCTTGGGAGGCCCTGTCCTCAGCTCTGATGGCCAGGAAGCCTACATGACTTTGCCAGGCAGCGAGACACCGATCCCAGTTCGAGTTGATTATTCTCATGCGTCGAAGAAGGCGGACGAGAAGCGCCAGCGCAACGCAAAGGCCTCCACTCGGCATCGCAAGAAGAAAAAGAACATACTGGAAGAGAATAATCGCGAGCTGCTTGATCTCAGGCAAGATCATGTTAAAATGTTGACGAACATCGAACACCTTACACGCCAACGCGACTTTTACCGTGAAGAGCGCAACCGTCTCCGAGACATCGTTCTTCGCACACCCGTCATTAGCCAGCATGCGTCCGGACCACCGAGTCCGGTCTCAACAAGAAGTGCAAACTCTCATGCAGGAGTCAGTCCTATGGAAGGCCAGCCACGGCCGTTGCGCACGCCTTCTCGGGGCTACATTAGCGAAGCGTCGTCTGTCGAGAGGCCAGCGCAGCGACGGCGGACTGACGATCGCCCGGAGTACTCGGCCAATTACTCTACACAGTCAGGGCCTCCGCCTACAACGTTGCCTCCTATGCAGTCGCACACACACCCACAAAGCATGCAAACCCGGCCCATGACGGCTCACCCGACTACACACCAGAGAAGACTGCCGCCGTTGAGGGCCATCGATGGGCCGCCTCCCCACGAGATGCATTCAGGACATACTCCGCACGAAAGAGACCCATCTACGGGGGAATGGCGACCTGCGCATCCGAGACATTATGAGACTGGATGGGCTACCCCTCGAAACATTGACAACCACCAGCGATGAGACGTCGTCGCAGTCAATCCTCTTGCAACCCAAACAGAGACCTCTCTCTGTACGGGCTTGGTCTCTGTCACTGCACTCTGTTGCATCGAAACGCCACTAACGTATATCAAAATTATTTAATTTACGAACTATTCAGCCTTATATTACACCATGTCGTTATATGATCAGGCAATCTCTTTTGCCATGAGGAGTAGGGATACAGAGCTATTTGTCGGGCAACCGACTCGCAGACTAAATTCGGGCTGCAAGATTATTTTTCGTTGGCTTGTGATTATTGTACCTGATTTTTGTTTTTCTGAACATTTTTGATCCGACTGTCTTTTCTGCGCAATGAAATTTGGCTGTGCTGGAGTTGACAAAGAAATAACTTGATGGCTACAAAAGGGCGGAACACTCCGAAACTGAGACGGCAAGAGGGCAAGCCTCACTCCACAAAGTACTTGTTATGATGCCCGGATTGGTTTTTTGGATTTCCTGAATTTTTGTTTGATGACTTTTTATTCCTTTTTTCCCTTTGTATTGGCGTGGATTCGTTGCTGTAAAGCCAGGGCTTTTATGCACGTTCGGAATACATATACCCGATCGCTTTTGGAATGTGGTTTCGTGTGTTTATATAGCGAGCGAGGATACCTTGAGCGGTCATTTTCCAGATTGATACTTTAGCAAGATTGCCAATACCCCAAAAATATATATAAATTTTCTTTAAGAGTGTATAACCTTGGGTGGTGTCTTATCGAAGCCATCTATACATCTATACGTGCTGCCTGTAAACACCATCCGCCTGCGCATTTCGGTTTGTGCCATCATAACGGCTAGATACTTGCGATTTGAACAAGATGTACTTGGTTTGAATCGTCTATACTTTTCCACACACTGCCTGTAATTTTAGGCCATTCACAAAAATAAAGTCCGTCCTGGTTGACGTACTTCATCTTCGCCTACCTTATTTATGGAGTGGCGCGACCCACATATCCTGCGAATATCTGGCCTCGACCTCACGTCGATCCGATTTGCGAGCAGCAAGCCTTTTGTCACTCCTTTTCGTACTATTCGTCATTGATAATCAGCGCATCACCGCACACTACGTCTCCAATACCGACTGGAACTTGTCGACAATACATACAGTCCCAAGCTACATACGGAGTGAGGTCACTCGCGAACCGAGCCGAGCGCAAAGGGACACGGCTAAGCGACGAGCAACAGCTTTGCGCAAGTGTTGCCTCGACACGAGAATTAGAGACAGTATCGAAACGATACTCCATCACCCACACCATGTCTCAACCGTTTCCAACGACGTATACAAGGAGCGACTACCCGCTCTTCGCCGTCGACTTTGATCCGGAAGATGACTCGCGAATCATCGCTGGCGGCGGTGGCGGCCCAAATCGTTCCGGCGTGCCCAACAAGCTTGTACGACCACCTGCTCTCGAATAGCGCTATGCTATCTTCTAGTCATATACTTATGATTCTCCATTATTCTGCGCATACATGGCGGGATTTGCTAACGTGTTTGTGCGCGCCACTGTTATAGACCGTTTTGGAAACCTCCAACGCAGACGACTTGCGCATCGTTGGAGAGCTCGATTTGCCACGCGACGAAGACAGCATCATGTCCCTCGCCTTTACTGGACGCAAGGGAAAGACTATAAACGTTCTTGCGGGCGTCAACTCGCACACGGATGACATTGCCAAGGGCGAAAATAAGCACCTGCGCAGCATTGCAATCCGAGGCGCCGGTTCCGACACCAGCGTCAAGGAGGAGCACCGCCACCCGCTCATCATCGACTCAGCTACGGCCGTCTACCAACGGCTGCTGCGAGTCGCCGGAACCCTCGGCGCAGCGGCCTCGGCCAACGGCAAGGACCCTCAGATTGCCCTCTTCGACGTCCCCAGCAGCAAGGGCAGCACGCTAAAACGCCGTGGGACAATTGAGCTTCCCAGAGAAGCAGAGGACCTCGACGTCTTGCAGCTGGCGGATGGAAGTCACCTCATGACGTACTGCTACGGCTATGAGCTGTTTCTGGTCAAGCTGGGCAAGGACCAAGAGGATCCGCAGCTCATTTATACAATTCCCGCCGAGGAAGCCAACCGGCCCAAGTTTCGCTTTGCTCGATTCCTCGGGCCCGAGTTCGTACTCACTGTTGCCAATATCGGACGCGCCGGTGCTGTTGTCCACGGCTTCCGCTTACCAAAGGCTGGACAAGAAAAAGCACGCCTGGCCGTCTCGGCCAAGCTTGATCGCAAGACGCAAGCCACAGCCTTTGCACTCGCAAGCCTGTCGCGTCCTACCTTCGGTCCAAAGGGAGGCATCGAAGCCCTCGGCGACACGCAATTCGTCATGGCTGTTGCTCGCGGCGACGCTTCCATTTCTCTCATGTCGCTGACGCACGTCGCGTCGCCAGCAATCAATCTTCTCACCAAGCTTCACCCTCTGACGACGCTCCAGGGCGTCCACGGCAACAGCGAAATCACGGGCATGGCACTGTCCACCTTTATTATGTCTACGAAGAAGGCAGTAGCGGGAGAGACGCAGTACCTGAAGCTCGTGAGCGTCACAATGTCGAAATCGATTGCGCTGCAGAGCATCCCGCTCAAACAATTCATTGACACGACACCACGAAGCAAGAACGCGCCCCCCCGTCCCGTCCGCTACGTTACCAAGCTTGATGCCAGAGCGCCCACTACAGCCAGGACTGCGATTACGCTCTTTTCGTTTGTAGTGCTTCTGCTTGCGCTCATTGGGCAGTCCATTGTAGAAATCATGGGCAAGGGCTATCCCATCCTTAATCCGCAGCGCTTCTTCCCAGGTACTTCGACGCCCGTCGCAACAGCTATTGTTGCGCCACCCGTGGTCCAGCAGCATGCTGCATCTGCTGTCGCCGAGACGTTCCTGAAGGACGACCTCCTCGCCAAGATTGTCGGCGACGGCCAGGTGCCTACAGAAGTTGTCGTTTTGTACGCCGAGACGCCTACCGCGGCCGCCGGCGAGGAGGAAAACGCCGCCGCCACGGCGGACATTAAAGTCGCAGTCCACGACGAGAAAGCCCACGGGCCGGGCAAGTCTTGGGAAGATTTGTCAGAGGCGGCGCAGCAGGCGTGGAAGGCTCGTCTGCGTGATGCCGGCGCATGGACGCAGCAAATGGGCGAGAGTGTCTTCAAGGGCATTCTCTTTGGCGAGATTGGTGGCGCTATCGGCCATGCCATGGCCGGGTAACTGCCGACACGCACCACCGGCGGCCATGCCGGTTTCTTTTGAATTGTATCTGGACGGGAGTTGGTTGGCAAAGCCAAAAGCGGCCTTTTTAGAAATTACTCGAATGTATTGGGCGAAGGAGTCTGTACATTATTACTTTGTCGACATTTGAATGCCGCGCAAAGCCCTTTAATAGCACGGGATGCTGATGCCAGCAGATGGAAACGATGTGATTTGAAACGCCCAAGGGCCCGCAAATAATGGTTTTGATGAGATGTACAATAAATAGTCTTGATAAATTACAGTAATTGGCAAGCCGAGATGTAGTAATCAACGCTGTGCCTGGGTTTTGGTCACGATAGCAACTTGCTGCTCTCTGGCGTCTTATAGCTAGACATGCCATGCCTCTCTCTCTTTTGGCGGAAGTAGTAGTTTGATCAAGAATCAAGACTATATCATTTGATGCTTCCAGTGGCAGAGCATGTCACGACCTCAACAAGAAGCTCAATGGCACCACGCTACAAGTACTGTTTATTTCCTCGGCACCATCTAAATCCGGCAGGGTGGCGCTTAGGAGCCCAACCTACATGCAATGCGACTTCATCAAGGCGAGAAGAGTCTTTGCCTTGTTGTCCATGTCGAACGTCCTCGACCAACTAACGCGTGCGATGAAACAGGGGCTGAATAACGCTACCCTTGGGCGAAACGTTCCCAATCACAATCACTTTTCCACCCCGCTCGACCGTTGGGGTCTATTCTTTCACGATCCCTCTTGCTTACACACACACACACACACACACACTGTCTCTCTCCATCTGTCTCTCTCTCTTCCTCTCGCAGCCTCAAAGGTCGCCGAGAATAAGTAGATCCGTACCAGCGCATTGGCCTTGCCATGTTTTTCTTCTTACCCACTCCCAACCTATCAACTACTACTACCAACAGGCGGTGACCCAAAAGCAACGACGGCGAGCCCATTACCCCGGCTTTTTGTTATTTATTTTCCATGGCAGAGTTGATTTCATCTGCGGCCCATTCTGTAACCATGTCCATGAAACATGGCTAGCGCATCCTTCTCTTTTTCCTTTTACAAAAGGACATGTAACCTTGCGCCCATGGCACTTTGCTCAGAGATCTCGAGTACGCAAACACGGCTCGTGACACAATCCCGTCCGTGGAGGCGGCTTATCACGCGACTACAAGCAGCAAGAGCAAGCTTTTACCAGGAAAATCTTATAGAAAGGGCCACATGCTGCGCGACTCTGGGGTTGGTGGCTGGCCGTGCAGGCGGGCGTCATGGTCACACCACCCTCTACCTAGCCTAGAGGTTTTTATCCAACTACAAATTGACTAGCGCTTTCGGTTCTTGTCAAGAGGGACATTTGGCTCTCGTGTCTTTCTTTTCTTGTGCTGCCCCCTTACAATTGGGACATGTTGAGAGCCAAAAAGGGTGCCGTTGAACTAGCACTGCGAGATTATCAATAATGATACGACGGCAGAGTTTGACAGCGGGGACGCGCGACGCGCAACCAAGAGGTTAATAATAGCGGCTCTCCAAGTTTAACAGGGACTAATCTTATTCGGACTCTTGGCTGCGGCGTGGTTCGACAGTGGTGCCTGATTCAGGGTCGCATCTTGGCTGGAGAGACCAGACGAGAGCCGCCTTTGGGGTTGACCGACCGCGGGCATACAATTGCGTGATGTTTATGGCCTCGTTGCAGAAAATGTTTGGCGAAACTTGCCCGATTCCGCGCTGTCCAGCAGATCTGATAATGTACGATAAAGGGAACTCAAAAAGTCTCGCATGAGGTGTAAAGCAAGCATAAAAATAGCAACACTAATTTTATTGGGCATCAACAAGGGTTCAGCTGGTGCGACAAGAGAGAGAAGAAATTGAACTTGTACCTACCTGAAGCCGCCGTTTCCCCACTGGCAGACTAATCCGTACTATGTAACTACCTATTTATTAGGTATGCATCCTGCAAACATTGATTTGCCTGGGAGGGGGAGGGAGGAGCTTGGACGTTGCTGAAACCGTCGTGCCAACTGTGCGCCCACTGTTAGAGTCTGTCATCAGAAGCCGTGAGAAAAAATATGTTGAATTGTAAAAACAGCTCCGTGCTGAAGAATGCATAGTCAAGAATGGAAGCAAGGCCAAATCAACGACTCGAGGCTATTGCATATTGTCGAGTTCTCGTTCCCTTTTGCGTCATTGACGTGCTGATCTCATGCCTCTCGGAAAGGTACTGGCCGCCTGTCAAAGGGAAATACAAGGTTCCGCTGGATTATCGTGCGAGCCCGCATGAACCGGTTTGTTTTCTTACTTTTTATGAAAGCAAATGTTTTTACCAGCAATGCGTGCAAGATTATGTACTCTACGGCGCTGTCAATTATTTACCAAGGATCTGAACAGCGGAACAACGTGGCGATGCAACTATCATATAATCATTCTCTTATTACCACTACTTTATATAATTTGGGAGGAGGCAGGGATCGTCATTGGTCACGGAGATGGTAATAAGCGTATATCCTGTTGATCAACTGTTGCGCTAGTTGGACTTCTGGCAATTGGCCCCCTCTGCCCCCGTTTGCGCCCCGACAACAGCGTTTGGAATGGTAGACGCAGCTGTCCCCTACTACCTATCCATACCTTACTCTTCGATAAAGCCAGAATCACTTTGCACAATCATTCGCCCAGCAAGGAAGAGAAGAGAAGAGAAAAAAAAAAGACATGCGGCGAAGAATCAGACGATGAAGAAATCGTAGTTCGGGTCCTTGCCGGATCCATGTGCTCATCCTAACTAGCAAGTCGTCCAGGGGACCGCTGCTGATTTTCCAGAACCCCGATTTTGAACTGCTAACTTGATTTTTCTTGCCCCTTTCGGGGGCCATTTGGGATCGGCAGGTTCTATTGCGGGAGCTAAAAAACCAACCAGAAAAATGTGCCGGGTGGGCGACGGCGGCGAGACGGCACCATCAAAGAGAAAACAAAAAGAAAGAAAAAGGTTGTGTCAAGTCCCGCTCGGCTCCAAAGAAAAAAAAAAGGGGGGAGGGGGGTGGAGGGGCATGGAAACTGGGCGGGAACCCCACCGACCATCACGTCCTAGAGGACCTGGCGATGCGACCATGTACTATGTAGAGAGGAGGGATAACTTGGAAAGGATACATAGGACTGAGGGATTCGGGTGAGAGAGCGGCAGTGGCGGCAAGCGCGGGGGCTTGAACGGATAGTTGGATAGTTGGATAGTTGGATGGAGGAAGGGAATGTGACGGAGAGACGGCTGGTGGGCGTTTACACATCAGCTCATCCAGCATTCAAGGGCATTTCGGTATTCGGCAACCTCTTAGGTAGTCTCTCAAAATTGCTGCTAATTACCTCTTTGCCAACTCACACCACTGCACATTAGTTTACTTGGAAAGAAGAAAACGACCGAGCGAGCCAGCTCCAGCAGCCGTTTTTTCTGGCACAAGAAAAATCAAGAAAGAGCCCGTTTTCATACGCCCATCGAAAAAAAATAAACGAGAACAAGTGGTGACGTTTCAGTCGCTCCAGCTTTGTTTCATCGTCGAGCGCGACAAGTGAAACATGGTGTTCAATCCCATAAACCCGCGCAGGTACAAAGAAAGTAAGTGCACGGACAGTTTTGTGCATCTTGTCGTCGTCTTTTTGGCACAACCGCATTACATGGTTGGACTGTCTATTTCATCGCGTTTCTCGCAGCTATAAATCCATGCCGATCCGTCTGCTTTGAATGGAGGGAGGGGGGGCAGTATAAAAGGAATAATCAATGAAAGCTCCAAGGTTTGACATTCATGCGTTTTGCGGCTTTGCCGAGTGGGGGGAGGGGAGCATGGACTCGTGTATGAGGGTACTCGGTGAAAAACGAAAAAGTACGGATAGAAAGAAGAAGAAGAGGAAGAAGAACAGGAAGAGGGGATTTGATTTTTAGCGCCTCGCTTGCGTGGGCTCATGCGTTCCATCATGTCCCACGCACGGTCGGGTTCGCCCGTTGGTCAAGATGTGGAAAGGCCAGCAGCACAAAACCATGTTGAGGCGCTCCAATCACGGTACAGACTGCGGTAGATGCTCGATCGCGCAAATGAACAAGCAATCTGCTGTATGCCAGGGACGGCGAGGCGGCACGGGTGCGACATAAACACGGCGACTTGATCATGACCGGCGCGAGTTTGAGTCGATCGATCATGTATCCGTAGTATTACCAGATGCTTGGCAAAACCACAGATAAATACAAGACGGGAAAAGAGCGAGAGATGCACCAGTTGAAGCCTGTCGGTAATGGGTCGTCGCTAGCTGCTCTTTTTTTCAACCAGCCGCTGTAAATATAACCAACCACTAACTTGAGTATAGTTGCCAATTGCGCCAGCGCCAGACGGCCCGTCTTCAGCCACGCTTATCAAGTCTTCCAAGGCTGAGAGCCAAGTCGAGCACCGCCAAGAGATGCTGGGCATAACTACAGAGCAGGAGCAGGAATAATTTATGGAAAAAAAAAGAAAGAAGAAAGAAAAAAGAAAGAAAGAAAGAAGCAAAGGAGATGAAATAGAGAAAGAGACAAGGGAAAGATAAAACGAAATCTTTGTTTCTGACTCTGTGCCAACGAATTCGCGACCCTACTGGTGGCAAACGAAAACAAAACAAAAGGGACGAATGATGAAAATGGGGGTCTTGTGGCTTGCAAGTTGCAGGGGTACGGGACAAGGCTATGGCAAGCCATCATTGCTCAATCGCTCTTCACCACGCCGCAAGTGGCACTCTCGCCCGTGTGGCCAGCGGCGCTAAACCCGATATTGACCAACAGGAGGTGGCGATTCAGCTGAGATGCTTCCTTCCTAATCAATACCGACTAAATACGTACTGGGTAGGTAGAGAGAGTCAAGACTTGAGAGAGAAAGAGAGGAGGCGGAAAAGAGAAAAGTCACATTGTGAGAGTAGCGAAGACGTCTTGTGTTGTAGCTAGCGGGATGCGCTTGGGCAACACCTTCTGCATCAGGTACTGGAGAGACAA